TTCTACCACCCTTTGTTCGTTTCCCAGAGTTAGGAGTCTCTCCTGTCTCCCTTTCTAATATTTCCCACTCATTTTAAACATTATTATTCTTGCCTGCTCTGTTGAATATTAGTTGACCATAGATTTGAGGGTCCATTTCTGGGTTCTTTACTCTCTGTTCTCATTTATCTATGTGTCTGTTTTTGTGCCAGTATCATACTGCCATGATGATTACATCTTTGTGTGTGTGAGTGTGCGTGTGTGTTTTAAAGATTTCATTTATTTATTCATTTATTTATTCATTCATTCATTCATTCATTCATTTATTTATTTATTTGTTTGTTTGTTTATTTATTTATTTATTTATTTATTTATTTATTTATTTATTTATTTATTATGAGAGACACACAGAGGCAGAGACATACGCAGAGGGAGAAGCAGGCTCCATGCAGGGAGCCTGATGTTTGACTCAATCCCAGGACCTGGGATCACTCCCTGAGCTGAAGGCAGACGTTCAACCACTGAGCCACCAGGTGTCCCTGATGATTACAAATTTGTCACAGAGCTTGAAGTCTGGTTTTGTGATGTGACTAGTTTCAGTTTTCTTTTTCAATATTCCTTTGCTCTGCAATCTTTTCTGATTCCATACTGTAACTGTAAAAATGAAAATCAAATGACAAAAAAAAGAAGGAATATAAACAGGTGAACAGAACAAAGTCATACACTATATCCTGAGTGTATTTTGGTTGGTTTGTTAGAAGAAATGACATCTCAAAATTGTAAAGAAAAACATATATATACAAAAATAAAATTAAATACCTTGAAAGGATAGAATGTAACTCTAAAGATGAAATTTTTATTTTTATTTTTTTAATATATTTTTTAATTTTTATTTATTTATGATAGTCACACACACACAGAGAGAGAGAGAGAGGCAGAGACACAGGCAGAGGGAGAAGCAGGCTCCATGCACCGGGAGCCCGACGTGGGATTCGATCCCGGGTCTCCAGGATCGCGCCCTGGGCCAAAGGCAGGAGCCAAACCGCTGCGCCACCCAGGGATCCCTAAAGATGAAAATTTTAAAAGACTTCAACAAAGCAGAAAAAAACAAAAAGAAGAAGGAGAAGTAGAAGAGGAAGGAGAAAGAGGAAGAAGAGGGGGAGGAAAAAGGAAATATGATCAGACAGGTGAAGAGAACAGAACCGTACACTTGAGTCTGGGTGTATTTTGGTCTGTTCGAAGAAACTGCACCCCAAAATTGTAAAGAAAGAAAAACATATATATACAAAAATAAAGGATGGAACGTAACTGTAAAAATGAAAATTTAAAAATATTTTTAGAAAGTTAAGAAATTGTTTGAAAAAGGATAGAGAAAAACAATTAAAATTGGAAGACTAAAGAATTATGGAGGGAAAACCCATTAATTTCATATACTGTGTTCCCCTAGGGTTGGAGTTTTGCAGTTCTGTGTGATGTGTAAGCTTGGTCTCAGTGGATGTTCTTGCTGGTCTTCTGGGGAAGGGCTTGTTGCACTGAATCTCAGGTGTCTTTGCCCAGGAGAAACTGCACTCCCTTTGCCCTGGGCCAGGTTCTGTAAGTGGCTCCTGATTGCTCTGTGTGGCTTTTGTTCCTGAAGGCTTTCACACTGATTTATTTTTTATAAATTTATTTTTTACTGGTGTTCAATTTGCCAACATAGAGGATAACACCCAGTGCTCATCCCAGCAAGTGCCCCCCTCAGTGACCGTCACCCAGTCACCCCCACCCCCCGCCCTCCTCCTCTTCCACCACCCCTAGTTCGTTTCCCAGACTTAGGAGTCTCTCATGTTCTGTCTCCCTCCCTGATATTTCCCACTCATTTTTTCTCCTTTCCCCTTTATTCCCTTTCACTATTATTTATATTCCCCAAATAAATGAGACCATATAATGTTTGTCCTTCTCCGATTGACTTACTTCACTCAGCATAATACCCTCCAGTTCCATCCACGTTGAAGCAAATGGTATTTGTCGTTTCTAATGGCTGAGTAATATTCCATTGTATACATACACCACATCTTATCCATTCATCTTTCGATGGACACCGAGGCTCCTTCCACAGTTTAGCTATTGTGGACATTGCTGCTATAAACATAGGGGTGCAGGTGTCCCGGCATTTCATTGCATCTGTATCTTTGAGGTAAATCCCCAGCAGTGCAATTGCTGGGTCATAGGGCAGGTCTATTTTTAACTCTTTGAGGAACCTCCACACAGTTTTCCAGAGTGACTGCACCAGTTCACATTCCCACCAACAGTGCAAGAGGGTTCCCCTTTCTCCACATCCTCTCCAACAGTTGTGGTTTCCTACCTTTTAATTTTCCCCATTCTCACTGGTGTGAGGTAGTATCTCATTGTGGGTTTGATGTGTATTTCCCTGATGCCCAGCTTTCACACTGATTTAGAAGATGAGAATGGAAATGGAAGCCTCCCAGCCTTCCAGCCCCAGAGCTGAAAGCTCAAAAGTTCACGCCCCACTCAGTGAGCTCCTGCAGATTCCTGGGCCCTGCTCTTGCACTACTCCTCCAAGGGGAGGAAGGGGGTCTTGCCCGTTCTGCTGTCTGTTGGGCCCCTACTCAGAGAGCAGTCATGCCAACTGTGGCCAAGGTTTATGGCAACACAGAGCAGAAAGCCCACATCCAGACTCAGTGTTTGCAGCCAGCATCCTTGCTCTAAGGCCTGGGAGCTCGGCCACATTAAGGCACCCCTGGTCTTCCTAAGACCCCAAGGATCCTGAGGCCACACTGTCCCACCTAGGATTCTGCCCCCACTTCACCACCAGAACATCTTTCAAGCCAGAAGTTCCCTCACCCAACCAGACTTCTAGAAGGTTTGATTGTGCACTCTGCCGCTGGTATCACCTTCTGGTAGTTGGCTCTCTTCCACTGTGGTTTACCTTCCCATATATCACCTTGGATTCACTTCTCTGTACCTCCTACCTTGCAGAAAGTAGTCACTTTCCTATTGTAAAGTTGCAGCAATTCTCTTCTGAGATCTCAGGTTGAGGTCACATATATTAAGAATGATTTAATAGCTATCTAGCTGAATTCCTGGGATGAGACAGAACTAAGGTTTCCTAGTCCTCTACCATATTGGAGTCCAATAGCATGTTTTTAACCTCAACGAATTTGTGTTCTTTTCAGTTTTTTTCTTGTGGTTGATTTCTAGTTGTGGTCAGAAAAGATGCATTGTATGACTTCAATCTTTTTGGATTTGTTGATATTTGTGGCTTAATAATATGTAATTTCATTTGGAGAGTGTTCCTGTGTACTGTAAAATAATGAGTATTCTGTTTAGGATGGAATGTTCTGAACATATCTGTTAAAAGCAGTGCATCATTTGAAACTATTCTTTCCTTGTTGATTTTCAGTTTGGGTCATCTCTCCATTGATGTAAGTGGAGTATTAAAGTCCCCTATGCTTATTGCATCACTGTAGTTTAGTTCCTTTATATTTGTTAATAACTATGTATTTGGGGGCTCCCATGTTGAGTGTATAGGTATTTAAATTTGTTATATCTTCTTGTTGCATTGCCTCCATTATTACGATGTAGTATCCTTTTCTCTTATTACACTCTCTCTGTTTTAAAGTCTGTTTTGTCTCATATAAGTTCCTACTCCTGCTTTATTTGGGCATCCATTTTCATGATAAACGTTTCTTCCTCTGTTCACTTTCTATCTGCATGTGTGTGTAGGTCTGAAATGAGTCTCTATTAGGCAGCATATAAATGAGTCTTGTTTTGTTATTACTGTTGTTAATGAGTCTTGTTTTTAAATACACTCTGTCACCCTGTGTCTTTTAATCAGAGGGTTTAGCCCATTTACATTCAAAGTAATTATTGATAGGAATGTATTTATTACCATTGTATTACTCTGGCCATCAGTTTGGTGGCATTCCCCTGATGGAGCCCCCTGAATGCTTCCCCCTCAATCATTATCGTTCAAAGCTCCTGACACAAAAGGTTCATGCACCCCATGACATAACCTAAGCACAAGACTATGGAGAGGAGCAGAGCCATCTTGGGGGCTACAAGACCTATGAGGTCAAGCTCAGACAATTTAGGACAAGTCACTGTAAGTGTGTAAACTGAGACTGAGTGTGTAACTGGTAAATGTCTGAGACCATTGACTTGGAACAACGTGGACCTAAAAGTCAAACTTGGCCAGCAAAAAGAGTGTAGGGTTTTCTCTGGTCAAGTATATGGACCATTATCCTGGCAAGAGAGAACCAATCCTTGGGATCCCTGGGTGGCGCAGCAGTTTAGCGCCTGCCTTTGGCCCAGGGCGCGATCCTGGGGACCTGGGATCGAGTCCCACGTCGGGCTCCTGGTGCATGGAGCCTGCTTCTCCCTCTGCCTGTGTCCCTGCCTCTCTCTATATATTTATTTATCATAAATAAATAAAAAAAAAGAACCAATCCTTGATCCATCAGGTCCTAGTTGGGGAAGAGTGTCTACTATGTATCTGACCAAGAGTCTTGGGCCTTTAGGGAATTTCTGCCTTAAAATATAGAGGGTGACAAACCATGAGAGACTCTTAACTCTGGGAAACAAAGGATTTTGGAAGGGGAGGTGGGTGACAGGATGTGGTAACTGGGAGCTGGGCAATGAGAGCACTTGATAGGATGAGCACTGGTGGTCTATATGTTGGCAAAATGAATTTAAATGTTAAAAATGTAAAAATAAATTATTTAATTTTAAAAAAGAGAATTGCATAAGGAAATGCAAGAATGCTAGAAAACTTAGCTCACAGCTAAACACAGATATTATATCAGTGAAGGTGACAAAACATGAGAAACACCTAACTCTGGGAAATGAACAAGGGGTAGTGGAAGGGGAGGTGGGCGGGGGTTGGGGTGACTGGGTGATGGGCACTGAGGGGGACACTTGATGGGATGAGCACTGGGTGTTATTCTATATGTTGGCAAATTGAACTCCAAAAAAATTAATTAAAAAAAATTTACAATAAGCAGATATTTATTGCACCTGGCCCAGCTGTGGCCTTAAAGGTCCACCACACACCTCTTCCCCAAATACAAAGCAAGCAGAAAGAGAAATTCAGAGATCATTGACAGGATCCCAGGAGGATTTCAATCTAGGTAAAGGGTGAACCTGGAGCCCCTAGAGCAAGACAGAGGATGGAAAGTCCTGTCTGCCCTTAGTCTATTTGCAAATTATCTTCCTCTGGCCTTGTCCCCTCCACATGCAGGATTTGATCCCTTTACATGTTTTCACCATTTAGCGCTGATACAATTCCAGAAATTGAACTAGAAAACTGCAATTTCCAAATATTGGGTCAAAAAAAAAAAAACAAACCAAACTAAACCAAACCACATCAACAAAAGAATCAGAAAATACTCCTCTTTTCTTTAGTGTGAAGAAAGGCAACCACTGTCCTGTGGCAGGAAGTAGTTCTGGCATGTGTTACCCTTAAAGACACCCAATTTCAGGGGTTGTTGCTATTCCTGTGAAAGTACCTTCAAATTCTAAGTCTCAGGAGTTCTGAGAGGCTTTCTCTGCTGTTTGCCCAAATTCGTTTCAATACTGAAATGAACCTGGCCTCTGAGTAAAGGGGACTTGAGGGTGATACCCAGTAGCTAGTGAAGAGAGCTGGCTCTTCTCCTTTCTCCCATATACAATAACTATTGAATCTGTAAGATTTCTGAGTTCAAGAAAGAATATGAGAGACTGTGCATCATTTAAATTATTGTAGGAAGTAAAAGAACCAAACCACACACCTGGGCTGTAAAAGAAAGAGGGATTTAATATAATATTCAAAGCTGCCACTTACTATTTAAGAAAATTAAATATTGCCCCTCAAAGTAATTGAATAGATGGGAGGAAGGGATGTTGAGCAGATGGGGCCCAAGTACCACAAGTGCTCCAGCTGTTGAGGAAACATTGCATTACCACTGGACACTCACTCAGCCCTGTGCTTGACTGTGGCCAGTTCTTTTTGTTCTTGAGTTCTGCTGGCCAGCCAGGACTGGGGCTTCAGCTGGCAGGACAGGAGGTAGCTAAGGACAGAGTGACATGTGTGAGTTGACCAGGAACTTCAATTCAGGAGTCCTTCCCAGTGTTTTCCCAGCAGCCAGAGTCTGCTGCCCAAGCAAGAGGGCTTGAGGTTGCTCAGGGAGCCAAGGAAGATGGATCCCCAGAGTGGCCACCAGAAAGAGTCCACCTCTACCCTCACCCGGCTCCTGATGGGTCTCACTTCTCATCCTTGTTGAGCCACTCCATAGACTTGAATGAGGCCCTACATGGATCCTTGGGCTGTAGGTTGTAATTACCTGCAGCCACCTGGAGCAGCATGATCTCTGTCATTACTTTGTATTCCTGGGCCAAGAGAGAAGGACAGGATGCATATAGAGCCTGGGTAGGAAAGCTGCAGGGCTTTGTGAGGATTGAGCAGTGGGCCAGAGGATCAGTCTCGGGTCTTTGCACACATGCCAACCCTCCTTCCTGAAAATTCATCCAGTTCCTACCTGTTCTCAGGTAGAGTAAATATGGCCCCTCCTCCAGGAAGTTATCCTTGATGCCATTCCTCTATCCGCACTTACTCACTGAATGGGTCTTCCACTTATTTATTATCAAACTACCCCAGTATATGTGAGGTGGAAGGGATAGAAAGCCAAGGAATGTTCTTCCCAGGGACATCTCTGATACCTGCTCCTCTACCTTTCCCTATAGAAGTGACACAGATGCTCACCTTATTCTTTTTCTGGTGGTTGATCTCATTCCCCTGGAAAGCAGCCAACCAAAGTCCATCAGAAAAAGCCCTCTGGTTACTACTAGCTCATTATATCCATACTTTTCTCATGCAGCACTAAGGCCAGGACACATGAGGGGGCCATGCAAACACAGATAAAAGGACTGGGATCTAGGCCAGGCTCTGGGGTCCAGAGAAAGAAGGACAGGGGGTAGATGATCTGGCTATAGGTCTGGACCCTATAGCACAACCCTCTCTGATGACAGAAGGGGAGACTGAAGCCTCAGGAAGGAAGGGGCTGCTAGGCTACTTAAGTGCTCGCTGATGTGGAGGGTCCTGACTTCACTCCCCACCCACAATAGGCAGCCTCACAGCGGGAGGCTGAGGTCAACTCAGACAAACGACAAAACTCATGCAGCTTTGCATGCAGAAATTTTTGCTGCTTCACTAGTCTCGGGCACTGGAACCAGTGAATTAAGTGCAGTCTTCCTTCACTCATCATTGACATGGGCAAGAAACTCAAGCTCACAGGGGCAGCTGTGAGGTTTTCGTGCAGGGAGGTTTGCCAAGTAAGAGAGCTCAAGGCTCAGTCCGGGGGCTCTCTGTTCTCAAACCTCAGGATCCTGGTCCCTCCTCCATAATCCCCAGGCTCACCCACCTCCAGGTACTTCTCCATTGCCATGTCCAGCATCATCAGATCAGTGAAGAAAGTGGCAAGGAAGGAGACAACACCCTGTGTCATGGGGGTGGGGATGAGATGAGTCTCTGCTCTTTGGTGCCCATAGAGACTCTCCCCTGAAAATACTTCAGCTTCCTGGCCCCCAGCTTCCCACGTGGAGCAGCCTAGGATCCTTAGCAGCCTCCTGTCAATTCTCTTTCCCCCACCCTCCAAGAACATCACCTCCAGGCCTGCTTTTAGAAAATCACAGGGTATGTAGCCCTGTGGCTCTCCCCACCAACAAATCCATTCTGTATCCAGTTTTTATAGACCCTTCTCCTAGGTACTTCTAAATAAGAATTTTAGAAGGTGTGGCAATAGGAGGCAGAGCTGGAGTCAGAAGGACCACCTGTCTTGATTTGGAGGCCTCCAGCTGTGAGAGAGGAGCCCTTCTTTGATTCTGGGGGCCCTGTAACTCAGGCACACCCACCTTCATCTGCAGCCTTTTCTGGGCTCTCCAGAAGTCCATCACCAAGGTGACAAATTTAGATGGCTACTCCTGCAAGGGCCAAGGATAAGGTCATTGAGACCATAATATCTTCAGTCAAATTCCCTCCACCATCTTTGAGTTTAGAACCTGGACATCTGACTCAGGACCCAGAGTCAGCGGAGAGCAATGCCAATGCTACATTATCCTTAAGCATGCCATGAGTGACTCTAGAACAATCTCAGCTCCAACATTCAGTCCATGTGTGACCTTAAGCTTGCAGCCTGGCCTCCCTGAGCCTGGTTCCTCATCGGGAAAAGTGAGAACTCCAGCTATCTCCCATGGTCTCCTGAGGACCCAGTGTCCTATTACTACCATCACTGTTGTGGCCCTCAACCCATCCCAACCCCATCACTGAGCAGAGGCCTGTACTCTGGGCTCTCAAGGTTGGTACAGGCCCCCACCTGGACCAGCTATTGACAAAGAATGATAGGATATCTAGACTAGGGATTCTAGTTGAATGACATTGCTTGTCCCACCTCCAGTGGAGTCTTCACCCCAGGCTGTAATCACATACATGCCAAAGGCTTCACCTCCCCATGGAATGCTTCAGGCCATTTTCCTACACAGCAGTCTTTCTTCATCCACTCAGGACCCTGTTCCCTCACATCCTTCCTCTCCTCCCAGACCTGCTGTACCTTCTATGCTACCTGGACAAGCAGTTTCCTGCTATGTGGGTTGTATTCAGTGCACAGCTTTTTAAATTTTTGAAAGCTCTTCTGGAATAGGGGGAGAGAAGGCAGGATCAATATATGAATAATGTGGTAAATTTGAGTGCAAGTCCCTTTTGAGAACCCAAAACAGTCCAGCTGCCTGGATGAGTTTTCTCTGGGTTCCTCTGAGCACTCAGGTCTTTGTAGGACATGGGAGGGAACTCTCATGTTGGTCATCCAGTGCCTCCATTCCTATATTAATTGAGTAGCTCTGCTTTGGTCAATTTTGGTTTCAATTCGACAGGGCTAGTCCTTTATGCTGTAAAGTAAACATGTGAAGATATTTAATTTGGCTCAGCTCAATGTGGGACATTTAGGAAAACTGATTTCTAAAGCAGGAGGCATGATGGCCTGTTCTCCAGAGGGCTGAGTGACCCACCCACCAGCTCGGGTCCTGTTATCAAGGTTTGCTCTCATGAGGTCCCAGCTGACTGTGGGGGGGTGGGGGTGGGGGACAGGCATGTAGGAGATCCCTCATCCATCCTGGTCTTTCTATAGAGAGAGGCCTACTCACCTGGAAACTTTCTCCCATGTCTTCTTCAGGCAGTGAATTGAGGCACTCTGAAGAGCAGAGAGGATGGCATGAAGTGAAGAATATTTCTACAAGATTTTACAGGCTGGGAGAGGGAGGAGAATGAGCTGTCAGGTGGGTAGCAGGACCTTCAGTCTCCCTCAGTTTAAATCTCCCCTCCTGGATGAAGTCCAGGGACCTGCAGAAGGGCACATGTAAGAGCCAAAAAGTAACACTTCTGGGGAGAGGGAGAATTTTACCTCACTTCAAGGAAGGAGCCAGGTAGGAACTGAGCATCTCAACATTGGGCCATGCAAGTGAAGGTCAGCATGTCTCTGGAAGGAAGAACCTAGGGACTGTAGAGTTGTAGAGAAACTCAGTTGGGCCTCCTATAGCATACCTTGGCCACTTTATCCAGTGATCCACCACTGTCTGTACAGCCTGTCCTGGGCTGTCATGCTTGGGTTGCCACAGTACATGGTGATGACACATTTGGCCACACCACTGAACTGGATGATGGTGGCATGGACTGTTGGTGCCAGGTGCTCATTGCCAGGCTTATTCCACTTGGACTAGATGGAGTCCAGGCACTGATGGGGCAGCACCTCTTGAAAAGCTCCTAGTGAACAGGCAGTGTTTTGTTCACCCAGCCACTTCACATGCAAAACTAATGTCCTAGGGAGGGGTCACAGGTTAGAGCTGGAGTTCAGGAAGCCAAGAATGTGGCCTGAGCCTGATTAGACTCTCTGGATTTCATTCCATTCTTTTTTACTGTGAGAACTCAGTACAGGATGACCCAGGAGGGAATACTGGCAGGGAGGGAATGGAGGGCATTTGCACCCTGATCATCTTCACAAACTTCAAGCTCCAGGTGACAGTTCAAGGCAACTCCTCACAAGGGGACATCTTCACCTCCAACTGTTCATCCCTCTGGTCCTACTCCCCTTTCAGCTGGGCCATGCATTCTTACATGGTAGCTATAACCAGTTTTGTTTGCCCCCATGCTTAAGTATCCATCAGTTCCCTAATAAGTGTGGAGGTTGCTTAGCCTCCAAGGCAAATGGGGGGGTGACCCATGCATTTGGCTGCACACAGTGAGCTGCCCCCCCCCCCAAGGACCAGGGCCTTCCAACTTCTGCTCTGGCTCATTTAATCTACACAATTTGCATCAGTTCTTATCAGTGTCTATCTCTAGAGACCACAGCTGGACAGTGAAGGCTTGAGCTTAAGGATCTTGATGGGTTGACATGGTTGGTAAATGGTGGAGCTGAGATTTGGACCCAGACTATAGGAGTATGCATCAGGGAAAGCCAGGTTTGGGGCAGCTGCTGGCAGAGGTAACATGTGCCCCTGACCCACCCTGACAGCCGAGCTGCTCACCACATCTGTGTACATCAGTTGCTCTACCACTGACTTGGGAGGAAAGTCCATTCTCCGCATTCAGCTGGTTCTTTAGGGCAGAAAGCATATGGGGCTGGAGTTGGCTCTGTCTCTGTTTTTAGAACTGGGGTTTAAATTCCATGTAATGATGATGGTTGAGCTGACTGCAACTCAGGATATGGCATGCATGCAGAAAATGTGAGCCCTGTTCCAGTTCTGGAATGGCTGATGGAGATGATGCTGGCTCTGATGCTTGAGGTGATGGTTGAAGCAGAGGTGGGTTTGTCTCTAGCTCCATAGTAGGCCCTTTTTCTGGATTAGCAGCTGGAAGGAGCCCTGGAGCTGACACTAGAGCAGGATAAATAGCAAGGTTCATCCACATAACTGACTTTCCATGTGCCTTTCCAAAAACAAGACAGAACCCATGGCCTTCAAAGGAATACCCAGCCCATGACCCCAACCCAATATTGTTGCCAGCTTTCAATCCCACTCACCGTCTGCCTCTGCCTCAGTGGGCTCCAAAAGTTCCCACTGCAGCAGGATAAGTGTGCCATGGTTCTTCAGATCCCAGTCATTCCCTTCACATGCACATAGGCCACCTTCACCTCAAAATGGGCACAGTGCAGGGACTGCCAGGTAGCCTGCAATTACTGGTCAAGCCAGGTACTCAAGATGGAGAGAGGATGCTGAGGAGAGTCATATGAGAAGTAGAGGCAGAGGCCTGGCCTTTCATTCCACATGGTATTCGCACAGCATCATTCTTTCTATGTGGGTCCCAGAGGATGACCTAGCCCACTTCCAACCCCACTGTAGCTGCCCTTGAAGTGGAAGGTCTGGTCATCCAGAAAACCTGTATGATTCTGGTTTTTCTACTTTACCTCTTCTCTCCATGGTCATGGGCCTAGGGTACTCGTTACTCCATGCAGACCAGTATCAGGGCTTAGGTTTGAGGCAGATTTGTGAGCACTCTGCTTACCACAACTTCTGTTCTTGGCCCCAGTTGTGGTGGTCAGCAGAGGTGGTATGGAGAGGGGCAGGGATACCAAGATGGGACAGTGGAAAGGATGGGTCTTTGAGGCACTAACTCAGCCCAGACTGTGCTCTGCTCCCAGATGGCTTGGGACCCCATCCATAGCTCTCTTTGACTCATTTTCTTCTTCCCAGAAACCTCCCAAACTTAAGCCCTCCCATGGAAATCAAGAGATTGTGAGATCCATGGTTCTGAAAGTCCCTCCCCAGCCACAACCCTTGTAGATACCCACCCTGCTTTGTGGAGGCAGGAGGCCCTCTTTCTGGGCCCAAACTAAAATCATGTTTTTATTTGGTCTTATAGTCCATCACAAAGTTGCAAATATGGGTGGATCCATTCATACCTAGAGGAGGCTATGAAGATGTCACATCTAATGATGATGGACATGAGTGCTGTCTGACCCTCTGACTAGAATTGAGATCCAGGCATTGTGTCTTATTTATTCACTGAATTATCATAGTGACTAGAAAAGTGCCCACATTATCAAGTGCTTAATATATATTGTTGAATGAAGGAATCCTAACCAGTACTTTCCAGATACTGTGTGGAACTTGGGCTTCTCTGCCTGCCCCCAGTGACCCCTAATCTGGCCATGTAAATGACAAGTACCAGGAAAAGCTAGATGGAATCTTAGAAGTCCTTTGCAAACAGGAAAACTGCCTGATTTCCATTCACTTTTATAAATCCTTCAGGGCCAAAGGCCATGAGGGTGGAGTTTGAGAGCTTCTTCACTGGAGAGCGAGAACTATTAAACATGAAAGTGCTCAACATGTCCAGGAGCCCTTTCTACAGAGCCAGGCACCAGCTAAGCCCATGCCACATTTTCTCCTATGATTTCCCACAGTAGCCCTATGAAGTTCATCCTCTTACCACACCACTTTTCAGAAGAGGAAAGTGGGGCTCAGAGAGGTGCAGTGATATTCCCAAGACATACAACTAGTAGATGGGAGGATCACCCCTGTGCTATGGTGTGAGCATTCACCTATTGAACTGCTGGACTAGGGCCTGCTGGGCTGAAGTGAAAACCTGGTATATGCAGAAAATGGTTGTGATGTTTGAGGTATTTCTATCTTAGAAGGATGGTGCTAGGGACTGTATGAGATTCTCTATTCCTTCCTTGAAATCAGCGTCATGCAGGCCTCACCCATGGACAGAGTTGATTCCTTTTCACACCAAGTAAACAAGAGGGGGGCAATGTAATCAGCTTCAACACAATGAACCACTGGGAAGATCAGGATCAGGCACTCTGACCAGAGACTCCCATCCTTTTGGGAACTTGTACAAGAGAAGGAACTTGAGTGCCCACACAGAAAGAGGTTCTAGGCTTAAAAGTATAGTTGGCTTTAGGGGTAAAAAATTAAAAAAAAAAAAAAGGTAACCAAGGCATTCTGTTAACTGAGCAACAGTAGCACTTCTATTAATAGCCTCTATTAAGGGCAGTATGCCAGTAAGTCATCATCAGTAAACATCTCCAGTGTAGTTGGGACAAACAGAGGGTTAGAATCTCAAATGCTGCTTAAGATTATGTATGTTGGGCCTGAGAATAGTCTAAAGAAGAGCTGCATGGAATTTCCTCTAAGCTTATGAGGGTTGGTCTGTTCCTGACATGGGGAGAAAGGTTCTGGGGGGAACCACCTTCTTCAGCAGGCCCTAAGAGAGCCAGTTGTTTCTAGTCTGGGTACTGGGCTTGCCCTAATTCTCTCTGGGTCCTGAGATTACAAATGAATCTGAACCTGTTCTCACTCCAGACCAGCACTTGTTGTTGGTGGCCTGATGCACCTGCTACTTGTCAAGGGAGACTGAGCTGCTGAACCTTTGGAGCAGCTCATCATGGATTTCCTGGGTGGAACTCTGAAAAAACAGAACCAGTGGCCTGGGCCAGGAGGCATCAGTGGCCTTCCACCCAATCTGTGGTTCTATGTTATGTTAGATCTTGAATTAAAACAGGACACTTAAGGTGTTCCTTGAAGCACTGCTGAAATGGTAACAGAATTGAATCATGTTAAGTTCCAACTGCCTTGAAATGCTAAATTACAGTAGGCAGATGACCTCCTTTATGGAATATTATGAAGACATATAGGGACAGAGCTTGTGACCTGTTGGTCCTACAATGATTTGATGTATTCTGAGAGATGACATGTTGCAGAGAAAAATATAGAATGGCTTCGTCCCACACTTTCTCTTGTGTTAAATCACTCTTTTTAGTGTGATGGTTTGTAAGGGCTTGGAGAAGTTCTGCAAGGACAATGGAGCTGAGTTCTACACAGGATATCTGGGGCGAATAGGTGAAATAATAAAAACAGTAGTAAAGTGCAAAGATACACTTGGCCTTGTGAAAAGTAAAAAGTAAAACAGACCAAAAAATCTCCCAAAACATTAAATATGTTCTCTACCATTCCAACATAATGTGAAAGGTATCTTCACATAGCTGGTGGCAGAGATGTGGAGATTCAGATTACTTTGGGCCTGTGGAGCACTCTTGTAAAAATACTCTGGGGGGACCCAGGTTTGTCCCCATATTTGTGTGGGAACCCTAGGTGTGGAGAACCCTCTTCCCTTCTCACCTCAGAGCAGCAGGGACCTGGTGCACCTGACACTTGTCTAGGGATCCGGAGTAGTTGAAGCTGCAGACTAGCTCCTCAAAGATCTCCTGGGTGCAGCTCTGCAAATACAGGCCAAGAGACATTAGGGCCTTCCCTGGACATCACCACAAGGGGACACCCCCATTAGAAATCATGTTCTCCAGTTCAGGTCAAGGGGGCAGCTGAAAAGACATTCAGCAAGGAGGAAGCCAGATGAAACTCAAGCGCTCATGAATACCATATAGGTAGCTGAACTTCATCCCTAGCACCTGTCTTATCCTGCTATGACCTGGGGTATGAGCATGAAAGATGTACCAGGCTTTCAACACATGGCACCTTGCTTCTGCCCAGGAAGGGCATGTCCCTCATTTTCTGTCCCCTCTTCCCTTTTTTTAAAGATTTTATTTTTTCATGAGAGACACAGAGAGAGGGACAGAGACACAAGCAGAGGGAGAAGCAGGCTGCATGCAAGGAGCCCGATGTAGGACTCGATCCCGGACGCCAGGATCATGCCCTGGGCTGAAGGCAGGAGGTAAACCGCTGAGACACTCGGGTTTCCCTCTGTCCCCTTTTCTGACACATACACACATACACACATACACACACAAATGAGAGGGAAAAGGTGTTGGCCTCTCCGCATCACTTGCCATCAGGGAAATATAAATCAAAACCACAATGAGATATCATCTCACAACAGTGAAAATGGTGAAAAATAACAAGACAGGAAACAAATGCTGGAGAGGATGTGGAAAGGGGAACCCTCTTGCATTGTTGATGGGAATGTGAACTGGTACAGCCACTCTGGAAAACTGTGTGGAGGTTCCTCAAAGAGTTAAAAATAGACCTGCCCTACGACCCAGCAATTGCACTGCTGAGAATTTACCCCCAAGATACAGATGCAGTGAAATGCCAGAGAACACCTGCACCCCAATGTTTCTAGCAGCAATGTCCACAATAGCCAAACTGTGGAAGGAGCCTCGGTGTCCATCGAAAGATGAATGGATAAAGAAGATGTGGTCTATGTATACAATGGAATATTAATCAGCCATCAGAAAGGATGAATACCCACCATTTGCTTCAATGTGGATGGAACTGGAGGGTATTATGCTGAGTGAAGTAAGTCAATTGGAGGACAAACATTGTATGGTTTCATTGGTTCAGGGAATATAAAAATAGTGAAAGGGATTAAAGGGGAAAGGAGAGAAAATGAGTGGGAAAAATTAAAGAGGGAGACAAATCATGAGGGATTCCTTTTTTTAAAGATTTTATTTATTCATGAGAGACAGAGAGAGAGAGAAAGAGACAGAGACAGAGACATAGGGAGAGGGAGAAGCAGGCTCCATGCAGGGAGCAAAAGACCAAGGAGGTGAGGTCACTTTTTCAAGATTCCAGTACCTGGTCCCCTTTGTTCAGTCATACCTATCCAAAGTCCCTTCTTGGCAGTTGACTAGCTTACCTTTCTCACCCATGTCAACTCCTTAACAACTGTACACAATGAGTTAAACATGCCCTAGCCACAACTCTCTGGAAATGTAGTTAGAGTCCTAATTTTCAGGAGACAGAATTGAATTCAGACCTTTTCTTGTCTGTTTGTATTCCCAATTGTGTTCTTATTCATTGTGTCTTTCATGTATTCCCCAGTGTCCCAACCTGCATAGTGGGATCAGGCTGGAATCTACTTCTTAGGGACATCATCAAGGATAATATTTATAACGTGTGGGCTGGTATCTTGTGTATCTGCGGCACAAATTTAAGGATGGAAGAGGGATCCCTGGGTGGCTCAGCAGTTTAGCACCTACTTTCAGCCCAGGCCAGGGCATGATCCTGGCATCCCAGGATCCAGTCCCACATCGAGCTCCCTGCATGGGAGCTTCTCTCTCTGCCTGTGTCTCTGCCTCTCTCTCTGTCTCTCATGAATAAATAAATAAAATCTTTTAAAAATAAGGATGGAAGAATTTCAAGAAGGGGTGCAAGCTGGCATGAAGTATCATTCAAAAGAGGCCTGGGTTCCAGCAATTTTATTTTGGAAAAGTCATTTTCCCTCTTGGCCTCATTTTAATGTAGGCACCATGATAGGCTGGAAATGCACAAAGATGCAGACATTGTCATCTTCTGTAGTAAAGCTGTTAAGTTGTTTCCTGTTATATTTAGAATGAGACCCAGTTGCCTTGTTTTGGTCTCTGAGGGCAGCAGTCTTTACAATGGCTCCCAGCGATCCTGACCTGCGGTATAGGCATCACTCTGTAACCACTAGTGGTTGGGTACTGGCTTCTGATGAATAAGATACAGCCAATGTGATGTAACGTCATGTCTTAGTTTCAGTTGCAAGGAGTTTCTGACTTCCTAGTTACTTCCTCTCATGTTTCCCTTCTCTTTTCCTCCCTTTCCCTTTTACTTTCTCTATCCCTGAACCTAAATTCAAGTACAGATGTTTTCAGCTGCCATATAGAGCTCACATGGCAGAGAACTGAGGCAGTGCCAAGGCCAAAAGACACACAGAAACTCAGGCTCTGAGTCCAAATGGCATCTGGAATCATGTGAGCAAACTTGGGAGAAAATCCCCTGCCAGTCTGGCCTCAGTCACAGTCACAGCCTCTGACATACTTTGAGGCTGAGGAACCAAGCTAATTACCTGGATTCTTCATCCAAAAAACCTGTGAGAAATTAAATATATCCATTTTGGATTCTTCATCCAAAAAACCTGTGAGAAATTAAATATATGCATTTTAAGATGAAGGTATTGGGGCAATGTAACAACAGATAACTAACAGTCTACCAGGTCTCAGCATCTCTTCCTGCCCTCCTCCTTCCTCACTGCTCTCCTAGTTTCCCTGCAGCCGCATTGGCCATCTCTTTCACCTCATCTGCCAAATTGGCTTCTGTAGTGAGTGTCTGCAGCAGTGATCCCTTCTTTCTGACACTCTACACCCAGACTCATGAACGTCTAGTCTAGCTCACTTTTGTCATTCTGTTCCCAGCAACATCATCCTCAGTAAGGCCTTTCATACCTTCCTATCCAATGACTCCCAGCCTTCTTTCATAGCACACTTCATTTGTAGTACATATTACTTGCTGTCTTCTATCACGTGCCTTTGCTTTTGTGCTTTTATCCATCTCCAGACTGTGAGTTCCTAACGGCAGGGAGACCTTAGTATTTTCAGCTCCACACATGGGCCCACCAAGGTACCTGGCAGAGGGTGCTGAGGACATAGTTACTGAATGAGAAGGTCTTAGAGCCCACCTCTCCTTCTAACCACCTAGACTGCAGGGGAAAATGCTACTAACTGTTTCAAGCTGTTTCTGGGCAAGGGAGACAACCAACCAAAATGGCCTCTGCATGACTGTTCCTGCTCCAGTTCCTCCACCAGAACACTCTAGGTGCCATGGACAAGGAGGCTTCCTGCATCGTGTTGTCCAGTCTCAGGCAGGCACACTACCAAAGAAAGGGATGCCTTTATTTGGGTGTCCTCAAAGCAGTGGCTTTCCAGAATCACAGGGGCAAAGGAGCAGGATCTTCCTCTAGAGGCATATTAAAGGACCTCAAAAGCTTCCTTTTACTCCCTTTTCTGTTCACTCCCATGGTGTCCTCTTTACTAACACAGTACTCTCAAGCAGCCAGAAGAGTGATTCTGCACCCACTCCTGTACATCCAAATGAGGACCTTGAAAGTCTAATGGAGAGTGGACTTGTCCCTCAATCCCAGACACAGTGTACAGTGCTCTGGGATTTTCCCAGAGAACATAAACAAATGACAAACAGATAAATAAAAAGGTGCTCAACATGACTAACCATCAGAAAAATGCAAACCAAGAACACAATGAAATATCACATCACATCATTTGGAAGAGCTATCATAAAAAAGAGATAACAAATGCTAGTGAGGATGTAGAGAAATGGGAATCCTTGTCCACTGTTGGTGAGATTGCAAATTGTTACAGTAATTATGCAAAACACTTAGAGGTTCCTCAAAATATTAAAAATAGAACTATCTTATGATCCAGCAGTTCAACTTCTGGGAACATATTCATAGAAAGTAAAACAAGGGCCTCTGGGTGGCTCAGTGGCTCAGGGCATGATCCTGGGGTCCTGAGACCAAGTCCCACATCAGGCTCCCCACACAGAGCCTACTTCTCCTTCGCCCATGTCTCTGCCTCTCTCTGTGTGTCTCTCATAAATAAATAAATGAAATCTTTATCCTAGAGGAGAACACAGACAACACCCTTTTTGAACTCAGCCACAGTAACTTCTTGCAAGTTACATCCACCAAGGCAAAAGAAACAAAAGCAAAAATGAACTATTGGGACTTCATCAAGATAAGAAGCTTTTGCACAGCAAAGGATACAGTCAACAAAACTAAAAGACAGCCTACAGAATGGGAGAAGATATTTGCAAATTTCATATCAGATAAAGGGCTAGTTTCCAAGATCTATAAAGAACTTATTAAACTCAACACCAAAGAAACAAACAATCCAATCATGAAATGGGCAAAAGACATGAACAGAAATCTCACAAAGACATAGACATGGCCAACATGCACATGAGAAAATGCTCCACATCACTTGCCATCAGGGAAATACAAATCGAAACCACAATGAGATACCACCTCACACCAGTGAGATTGGGGAAAATTAACAAGGCAGGAAATAACAAATGTTGGAGAGGATGCGGAGAAAAGGGAACCCTCTTACACTGTTGGTGGGAATGTGAACTGGTGCAGCCACTCTGGACAACTGTGTGGAGGTTCCTCAAAGAGTTAAAAATAGACCTGCCCTACGACCCAGCAATTGCACTGTTGGGGATTTACCCCCAAGATACAGATGCAATGAAACGCAGGGACACATGCACCCCGTTGTTTATAGCAGCAATGTCCACAATAGCCAAACTGTGGCAGGAGCCTCGGTGTCCGTCGAAAGATGAATGGATAAAGAAGATGTGGTTTATGTATACAATGGAATATTACTCAGCCATTAGAAACGACAAATACCCACCATTTGCTTCAACGTGGATGGAACTGGAGGGTATTATGCTGAGTGAA